TCTTCAGCACTGCAAATAGAACTTATATATATATATATATATATATATATATATATATATATATATATATATATATATATATATATATATATATACACACACACACATATATATATATACATTATAATAGAAACAAGATTTCAAAATTCGCTTGAAAATGAAACAGAACTAATGCTTTTAATTTAATATAATTGAATTTGAAGTTTTTTGTTTTCTGTTTTTGAAACATAGTAATTACTGTGTAGCAATGAAATCATATTTTTAAATCACTTAATTTATAGTATATATATATATATAGAGAGAGAGAGAGATAGATAGATAGATAGATAGATAGATAGATAGATAGATAGATAGATAGATAGATACAGTAGGCCACTGACAGAAATTCGAACAAAAATTGTTATGCTGTTTGCAGGAACTTTTGGGTCTACATACGCCTAATTCATAAGTGAGCAATCTTTTTACTGTCTCTCTCATTATATATATATATATATATATATATATATAACGTGTATTTATTTTGCAAGGTTTGTATATATATATATATATATATATATATATATATATATATACAAACCTCGCAAAATAAACCACGTACTTTCCTGTGGTTATAACATACTTTGGATAAACTTTTACTTGGAAGCAGTCATTCTCACGGCTAAGAAAAATGACATCCACTTCAGTTACTTGAGAAACTTGCGTTAAATTCCTTACAGAATTGGGATATGCATGTTGATCTCTTATTTGAATTATAATTTTTTTTTTAAATGAGATTGACCTCTTTCGAATTCAAAAACCGAAAGAATCTGTTTCGATGAGAGGTCATGGGATCAGCACAAAAATTGAGTCAATGCAAAGTCAGCAATGAGCCGGGAATATCAAGACATTTTGTTAAACTGACCTAAATGTAGTTGCAATTATTCAACATGGAAACAAGAAACTGTAATCTCAGAAATTAAATAGAAATTCTGAAATATTTTCGGTGTGGCTATCTAAATTCAAACCAATGTTAACGACTCCTCAAGGAATGATTCAATCTAGTTCTACGAATCCATGTCAATAGCAACGTCAAAGAATATCATGTAAATTAATTTTGGTAGTGGCATTATGCAAAAAAGTCCATCACATCATAGGAAATTTGGAACAGAATAAAAGCAAAGTTTTAAAATAAAACATTTATTTTGGAAATTCTGTGGAATGCGCTAAAATGGTTTTCCATAACGAAAGCGAAAGATAATTACATTCTAATACCAGAAAATGCCAATATTAGAATATTGAAGCGGCTTCAGATCTTCGACTAAAGCATTAAACTTAATACAGCCAGTGAATTTATACACTTCTCTCAGAGTAATATTGATAATATATAGCGGGCCTAATGTTAACATGTGGAAGTACGAGTAATGTAACAGTTAACGGCGCGGAAAGTTCAAATACCGGTTTAACTTACTGCCTTCACGTTTGCATAAATTCCATTGGAAAATATATGAGTCCGTCTCTTCTCAATCATAGACTGGAATCTACAGCTTTTGGATGGAAGCCAGGCAACGATAAGGAAAATAATGAATTCCAAACTGCAGAGAACAACGAGAAACGAAAGTATGACAATTCTACGATAGCAAAGAAAATGAATCTTTAGAGTGTCATGATTGCTTACATCCTGGAGGAACAGGGCACCGTTTAAATCTCTAATAACTATAACTGCTCCTACTTTAATAAGACATTTCCTCTTAATTTTCATAACGAGTGCTACAGGTCTATGTAATCCAAGACTACCTGTTACATGGTGACTACACTATTTTGCACACCAGGCTTTTCTGGCGAGGAAGGTGGCTAGTAGACTTATCAGGATTGCAAATAAAACCCGGCAAAAAGAGCGGATGGACCTTCTTATAGTCATCAAGTACAATTGCGTAAAATGGGATCCATAGCTAAAGATGGTAGCTAGTGCGGTGATGACACAACATTACTGGGCGAAAGGCTTGCTAGACGGAAGTCAACAGCCATAATTGAAGGTGACCATGATGAGCCTTCAAATTGGAGGACATCTGCGATTTTTTAGCCTGGAGAAGGAAGAATTCGGTAGAGTTCTTCTTACCTAAGACACGCTACGCATAAATGAACCTGCCAGCGTTTAACTGAAATCTGTGGAGGTAACTGACTAGATGATGATGATGATTTTTTATAAAATGGCAAGAGTAATAACGGGAAAATGGCGAAATATGTTTGGAGTGTAAATGGAAGGTCATCTTTGCCTTACAATGCTTTCAAATTCATAGGTGACTCGTTATAAATCTTTCTTGTGTTCTTCTACTAGGAATGGTAACATGAAATCTTGTAAGAGATCGGAAGCATTCAAGCAGAGGAAAGTCGGAAATCGCTAAATTTTCTGACACATCGGTGTTTGAAAATCTCGTAGAAATATCAAAATTACAGGTGAGAATAATCATAATAAGGACACTTCAAAAATGATCGTTGTTATCCGCGTGAGGAATGCCAGAACGGTACACCATCCAAAAAGCACAGATCAAAACAACAATGATAAAGATACTACGATGAATAAATCAAAGACTAAAAAACTAAAGCGCAAAACGGTCGCCATGATGGTACTAAAACAATAAAGATGAGGATAATAGTTTGAATAATTCACGAAATAATGATGCTGGTTCATCTCTCTACTTCAAATTAAAAAAAAAACATTTTTACGTATCTGAATTAATAGCTTCAGCTCTCTTTCCCCCTTCTGTCCTCTCTCTCTCTCTCTCTCTCTCTCTCTCTCTATCTATCTATCTATCTATCTTTCCGCCCTCTCTTTCTCTCTCTCTCTCCCACACTCTCCTGTTGATCTGTCTCTTCTCTTCTCTTTCATTTTTATCATTCTTCTACCAATCTTTTCTCTTTCCTATCTACATTCCTCCTCCTCTCTCTCTCCCCTGTATCGCTCCTCTCACTTTTCTTTCTTTCCACCTCTCTATCTGCATTCTTACCTTTCTTTCTCCTCACTTTCTCTCCTCTTTCCATCTATCTAGCCTTTTTTTTCACCGTTTCCTATGTATATCCCCTTTCTCTCTCTTTGAGTCTCTCTCTTTAAGTCTCTCTCCCTCTCGTCTCTCTCTCCTCTTACTCCGTTTCCTATGTATACCCCCTTTCTCTCTCTTTGAGCCTCTCACTCTAAGTCTCTCTCCCTCTCGTCTCTTTCTTCTCTTACTCCGTTTCCTATGTATACACCCTTTCTCTCTCTTTGGGTATCTCACTCTAAGTCTCTCTCCCTCTCTCTCTCTCCCTCTTACTCCGTTTCCCTGTATACCCCCCTTTCTCTCTCTTTGAGCCTCTCACTCTAAGTCTCTCTCCCTCTCGTCTCTTTCTTCTCTTACTCCGTTTCCTATTTCTCTCTCTTTGGGTCTCTCCTCTCTCTCTCCCTCTCGCTCTCTCTCCTCTTAAGTCTTTCTCTCTCTTTGAGCCTCTCACTCTAAGTCTCTCTCCCTCGTCTCTTTCTTCTCTTACTCCGTTTCCTATGTATACACCCCTTTCTCTCTCTTTGGGTCTCTCCTCTCTCTCTCCCTCTCGTCTCTCTCCCTCTTACTCCGTTTCCCTATGTATACCCCTTTCTCTCTCTTTGAGCCTCTCCTCTAAGTCTCTCTCCCTCTCGTCTCTCTCTCCTCTTACTCCGTTTCCTATGTATACCCCCTTTCTCTCTCTTTGAGCCTCTCACTCTAAGTCTCTCTCCCTCTCGTCTCTTTCTTCTCTTACTCCGTTTCCTATGTATACACCCTTTCTCTCTCTTTGGGTCTCTCACTCTAAGTCTCTCTCCCTCTCGTCTCTCTCTCCTCTTACTCCGTTTCCTATGTATACCCCCTTTCTCTCTCTTTGAGCCTCTCACTCTAAGTCTTTCTCCCTCGTCTCTTTCTTCTCTTACTCCGTTTCCCTCACCCTTTCTCTCTCTTTGGGTCTCTCCGTTTCCCTCTCGTCTCTCTCTCCTCTTACCCGTTTCTCTTTCTCTTCTTTGGGTCTCTCCTCTAAGTCTCTCTCCCTCTCGTCTCTCTCTCCTCTTACTCCGTTTCTTATGTATATCCCCTTTCTCTCTCGTTGGGTCTCTCTCTCTAAGTCTCTCTCCCTCTCGTCTCTCTCTCCTCTTACTCCGTTTCTTATGTATATCCCCTTTCTCTCTCGTTGGGTCTCTCTCTCTAAGTCTCTCTCCCTCTTGTCTCTCTCTCTCTCTTCTCCGTTTCCTATGTATATCCCCTTTCTCTCTCTTTGGGTCTCTCCTCTAAGTCTCTCTCCCTCTCGTCTCTCTCTCCTCTTACTCCGTTTCCTATGTATATCCCCTTTCTCTCTCGTTGGGTCTCTCTCTCTAAGTCTCTCTCCCTCTTGTCTCTCTCTCCTCTTACTCCGTTTCCTATGTATATCCCCTTTCTCTCTCTTTGGGTCTCTCACTCTAAGTCTCTCTCCCTCTCGTCTCTCTCTCCTCTTACTCCGTTTCCTATGTATACCCACTTTCTCTCTCTTTGAGTCTCTCTCTCTCTAAGTCTCTCTCCCTCTTGTCTCTCTCTCCTCTTACTCCGTTTCCTATGTATACCCACTTTCTCTCTCTCTGAGTCTCTCTCTCTAATTCTCTCACCCTCTCGTTTCGCTCTCTCTTCTTTCACCATTTCCTATGTATATCCCCTATGAGTCTCTCTCTCTCTAAGTCTCTCTCCCTGTCTCTCTCTATCTCTCCTCTTTCTCCGTTTCCTATGTATATCTCCTTTCTCTCTCTTTGAGTCTCTCTGAGTCTCTCTCTCCCCCTCCTCCCCCCCTCTCTCTCTCTCTCTCTCTCTCTCTCTCTCCCCGTCTCGAACAAGATGAGTATCACCCGAAATCATTACTTCGATACGAAAGGAGAAAATAGTTTTCAAGCAAAGTTGTTAGTAAAAAGTCTATGCCGTAAGCATGTCTGTTGCAACGACCATTGATTTGTCTTCATTCTAATAATGACATCGGTATTATTGTATTGGCTTCGAACGATGGTCATTCCTTTCTCCCTCTCTCTCTCTTCTTTCTCCCTCTTCCACCCGCTATTTCTCTCTTTTCCCGTCTCTCTCTTATTTTTGGCTTGTTCTATTTACTCAGAAGCCCAGCCGAACGATGCAGCGTTTCGGCTTGAAAAAAAAAATCAGCCTGCCAAATCCGTTATTATGAGGCGAAACAAGGAATTTCAATATTCGAACTGTTTATTATATATTGATCATCTTCCAGCTCAAAGGCAACACAATTTATAATTATTTTCTTCCCGACATTCTTTTGCCTGTTTTTTTCCGGTATCTTTTTTTCTTGATTTATTTTGATATTTACTTTGGTTTTTTACTTTTCATCCGTTTATTTTTTTTTCGTCTCTTTTTCTGTCATATTGTTTTTATTTCATTCACATTTTCTAAATAAATGTCTTGTTGCGTCTTCACTTTCTCTTATCATCTTTGCTTTTTTTCTGTTATCATTTTTTATTTTCATTGTTTTCCTTTTTTTTTTAGCCATCTTTCTTTTGTTATTTCTTTCTCTCTTTCGCTTTTCTATTTTCAATCTTTTCTTTCTTTTTCCTTTATTTCTATCACCCTCTTTTTTTCCTTTATTTCTATCACCCTTTTTTTTTTCCTTTATTTCTATCACCCTTTTGTGCTTTCGTTCTATTTTTGTCCTTTTTTTTTTCGATCGCTAATTCGTTTTGTCGGTTTGCTTTTCTTTCCATTCTTTTTTTCTTTCGTTCTCTAAATTTCTTCCTGGTTTTACGTTCCTTTTACTTCTATCTTGTCTTTTATTTTCGTTCCTTTTTTTTTTTTTCGAGAAAACTTTCTTCTTTTTCATTCGTTCTTTTTCATTCATTATTTGGTTCCTTACAATTTTATCTCTTCTTTTACAATCAATTTTTAATTGTTTTTAGTTAATTCCTTTTTCATTTTAGCCTTCTTTGAATCACAATGTTTTTCGTTGGCTTCTTCCTTTTTTTTTCTTTATTTTTTTCATTCCTCATTCACGTTCTTTCCTTTCTTTTCTTCATTCCTTATTCACTTTCTTTGTTATAGATCCTTATCCTTTTATTTTTTTATGAATTTTATTGGAGACGCTGTTTACTTAATGATATTTCAACGTATTTCTTCTCGTCCTCTCTCTCTCTCTCTCACACACACACGCACACACACATTTTCCTTTTTCCAACACTTTATATCATTCCGTCTCTATTTTTCCCTGCCTTCTTCCAATTTTTATTCCTTCTATCTTTTTTCTTCCATTATATATTTTATATTTCATTCATTCTATTCAGAAGATTTTATTTTACTTTCTTTCAATCTCTCTTTCATTAATTGTTCTTCATTACATTTTTTTTCTATTTATTAAATTTATTTTCTGACCTTTTCATAAGGATTTTCTTTCGATCTTTTTCCTTCCTTTTTTCTTTCTTTCCCCAATCTTATTCATGTCTGCTTTCATGTCTCTCTTTGAATCTTTCTTTCTTTCTTTTCCTCTTTTCTTTCTTTATTTCTCTCTTTCTTTCTTTCTGTCTTTCTTTATTCTTTCTTTCCTTCTGTTTTATACTTTTTCTTTCTTTCTTTTTTCTTTCTTTTCCTCTTTTCTTTCTTTCTTTATTTGTCTCTTACTTTCTTTCTTTCTTTTTTCTTTATTCTTTCTTTCCTTCTGTCTTTATACGTTTTCTTTCTTCCTTTCCTTCTTTCTTTTTTTCTTTTCCTCTTTTCTTTCTTTATTTCTCGCTCTCTTTCTTTCTTTCTTTATTCTTTCTTTCCTTCTGTCTTCATACTTTTTCTTTATTTCTCTCTTTCTTTCTTTCTTTCTTTTCCTCTTTTCTTTCTTTATTTCTCTCTCTCTTTCTTTCTCTCTTTCTTTATTCTTTCTTTCCTTCTGTCTTTATACTTTTTCTTTCTTTCTTCCTTTCTTTCTTTCTTTCTTTATTTATTTCTCTCCTTCTTTCTTTCTTTCTTTCTTTCTTTCTTTCTTCCTTTCCATTATATCTTCGGCTTTCTTTCTTCCCTTATTTCTTTCCCTGAGATCACCTTGAAGAAACCAAAAAGTGTACGACAGCATGAATGATGACAAAGTGAGGATCGAGGAATCTCCAAAACTATTATTAATTACAAAATTCATCAAAACCTCTTTCACTGTTACCTATCTCCGTACCACTGATCCTGGTTTCCCTCTCTTGGATCGAACCAACGGCAAATGAAGTTAAAAGCTGTTACCACGACGGTCCCGCCGATCGACAGTCAAAAGTAATAAATATTTATGACATCTTATATTACGAAGAAATTGCTGCTGCTTGTCTTACACGGCAAATTCCTGGCGTCGTGAGTTCGATTCTCGCTAGGTTCAACAGGCCCAATTCGATTTATGTTTCGGTGCTGATTTCATTTTGTCTTGTGCCACACTTAGCTATGTTTAGTAATTAGCAGTCGTTATATTGCACATTAAATTAAAAAAATTCCCATAGAAAAAAAGGAAATTGGACATAGAATAGATTGCGCCAGGGGTAGTTTTGCCCAATATCGCACATTGCTACAAAACCAAAACGTTAACATGAAAACTCGAGTCATGTTCATAAAAAGCCTAGCCAGATAAAGACTTTCATATGGATGTCATTCATGGCGCCAATCCCGTTGAGAAACGGTTATAAATGTCTTTGGAAGAGTGATCTGCCATTACAGAATCAGAAACAAAGAACGCTACCAAATAACAGAAACCATATCACATGAGAACTTTCAACAGCAGCAGCATCTAAACTCGATATCACATGTAACTCAAAGAAAATAATGGCTTAATCAAGGTGTTGGCATTCAACAATACTTCCAATAAAAGTTTAGGAAGGAACGAAAAAGGCCATCAATACTGGAAAGGGCGATAACTTCGACTGGATTAGAAAAACATTTTCCAGAAAAATTGTTTTAAAGAAAAGGTTTTAGAAATTTCGACCGACAGCAGTCCTGGCTGCTCGGTCAATGAATGTCGAATGTTTCCTTATAAGGAAATAGCTTATATTACTATTACCATTCAAATGCGTGTGAGTGCATGTAATGCACATGTGTGCATGTGAGCCATTTAAGAAAGTGCGGCCTTACAGAAAATGGCGCTAAGAATCTAGATTTAACTTCTGCATGGAGCTATTTACGCTTCCTTCTTCTTAAAGATTTTTCAGATGATATGATTCAAATTCTTGACCTTTATTGCTCTTTGCAGACATATGCAATTCACTTTATTGCGTTTCCATGATATTGTGTTGCACTTTATTGCACTTCGGAGATATTCTGCTATTTCTTTAGAAATTGTGCGCTTCTAGAAAATATACGTCAAGCAAGTCAACGTGCACCATTTTGCCAACTTCACAATGGATAAAGGCGTTGGTTAGATCCAGTGACAGGACCCAAAGTGTGTGAGTTCAATAAACGGTTATGGCAGTAGAGACCTTGGAGAGAGGAATTAACAGGCGATAACTGATAACTGCCATCCATTAAACATGGCACGTGAAACTAGAACAGTCTACCCCAGTGAGCGAAATAAAGGGTTCAGTTCGACATTCCAGCCACCTGAAGAAGGCCGGAGCGTACAACGGCCGAAAAGTTGTGATAAATATGGCGTCAACGATGAGGACAATAGTCCGAATAATGTAAATAGTGTACATAATACCTCAGCTCAGAAATATAGACACATACTGAAAGGACTGAAACGTTTGTAATAAATATGGGGACAAAGATGTGGACAACAGCCCAAATAATGTAAATAGTGTACATAATACCTCATCTCAGAAATATAGACAGATACTGAAAGGCCGAAAAGTTGTAATAAATATGGCTACAAATATGAGGACAATAGTCCAAATAAAGTAAATAGTGTACATAATACTTCATCTTAGAAATATATACAGATACTGAAAGGCCGAAACGTTTTAATAGATATGGCAACAAAGATGATGAAAATAGTCCAAATAATGTAAATAGTGTACATAATACCTCATCTCAGAAATATAGACAGATACTGAAAGGCCGAAACGTTGTAATAAATATGGCTACAAATATGAGGACAATCGTCCGAATAATGTAAATAGTGTACATAATACTTCATCTTAGAAATATATACAGATACTGAAAGGCCGAAACGTTTTAATAGATATGGCAACAAAGAAGATGAAAATAGTCCAAATAATGTAAATAGTGTACATAATACCTCATCTCAGAAATATAGACAGATACTGAAAGGCCGAAACGTTGTAATAAATATGGCTACAAATATGAGGACAATCGTCCGAATAATGTAAATAGTGTACATAATACTTCATCTCAGAAATATAGACAAATACTGAAGGGCCGAAACGTTGTAATAGATATGGCAACAAAGATGATGAAAATAGTCCGAATAATGTAAATAGTGTACATAATACCTCATCTCAGAAATTTTGACAGATTATTTTCTGTATTGCTATGGTCGGAAGCTGTAATATCATGCTTGCTTCTTGTTCATATCTATTGCTCTTGATAAGTGCATTTCTCCTTTGTATGTAAAACAATTTAAGGTTGTAATCTAATATTATAGAACGTAGTAAATCTTATTTTTTTTCTTTTCACTAATTATTAACGAATGCTCCCCGGCCGAAGAGAAGAGATAACAATGAAGATAGTCTTCACTTGTGTTATACGTGTACAAATATTGCAAATTTGATCATTTTTTTTATTAAATAATTTGCAGCAGGAGTTTCCTTTCTTCAAGATAAATGTTTAACGATGAACTTAACCCGTCAAACACTTGTGATTGTGCACTCGTTCGTTGTTAGTCAGTTGCTATGGAACGATTAAATCCACTGAACGCTCATAATCCTCAAAGGATTTGTTTGCAATGAAATATTGAAGCCGACTCCTTCACAGAAAGTAGCGGCAAACGAAAGTCAACGAATGGACGATTATTTTACTTGTAATGAATAAAAGAAAAAAAGAGAGGAGAAATCGGATAAAATGCAAACAAATCGTTCAAAATTCTTTTAGTAGCGTGTAAATAATACAATATATCTGCTCTTTTCTTCCCGAAGGAACTCGATTTCTAATCAGAAACAAAGCAAAAAAAAAAAAAAAAAAAAACATACAAAAATTTAATACGGAGCCATCTTGTCGTCTGCTTTTATGAAGTTGTCAAGACATGAAGGCGCCGTGAATGGGAAGATCGAGAACGCCCAAGGGACATAGAGAGAATAGAACTATGTCGGAAAGTGCTTAAGCGTCCAACATAGATAGTTGCAAAGAATTACATGAACTTTATCGTTTCGCGTAAATTAAAAATTCCACAAGGTTCACGTTTTTTACCCGACTCCATATTGTAGAGACAAATCTTTTATTTATCATTCATGTTAATGGACGTAAAAACATTCTTTAAAACAAACATCAAAATATTTGATTACCTGCTGCAAATAAATTTGATCAAGGTTTTCATATGTATTTATACGTGTTTATTTGCATGTGTTTGCTCTTTATATACGTCTGCGTGCTTTGTATATGGATAGATATTGCAAGTTTTATGTGTTCATGTCTATAAATAAATGACGAGGAACTACTTAAATATACTGGTCCGCTCATTGAAAAAAAATAGATTTTTTTGTAGATATGTATTTATTACACCATCCAGTCACATTTGTCAGAAACGAAATATTTTTATAGATTTGAAAGGCGGGGGTCCTCTTCATAATAAGGGATTCGATTTCACATTGTATATGTGAAATTCATTCTTTACGTTTTACAGAGTTATCTGAATCTTGCCGTTGTTTAAAATTGATAAGTTTCAAACTTTAATTATGACATTAATATCTGTAGTAAATTTTTTAATACGTTTTTAAATTTAAATTTAAAAACTTTTTGCTTTTTATGGTGGGCCATGTACAAACATTGTGGTGCAATAATTATTTAATAAAGAATAAACGCATATCTATTTTTATTAAATGTAAATTTTGATATTAATTAAAAATGTATATATTCCCGTTTGTTCTTTATTTAAATATAATATTTTTATAATTAAAAAAAAATGGTTGTTTTTGATGCGGAAGGCAACTAGGTCCCGATGACTCTGTAAAAAACATGGATCGATTTTCCATTCTAATGATATTATGAACAAGACCCTGCTCTTAAAAAAATGTTAATCTTCAAGAATTATTTCTCCCCAAAAATATTTGGCGAGTTTTTAAGTGTGAACGTCTCCACGTCCTCGTGGGTGATGAATTATTTTCTACCCTAGAAACCCCCACGCTGCTCTATCGTTATTTCCATGGAAAGGGCTTAGACGAAATACAATCCTTAGTTGCGCCAGTTCTAAAATTCACGACTAGAACCTGCCATGCCACGCCCATTGAAGCTAACCCCACTCGTTCCCTTCATATTCCATTGTTGAGATGTAAGTTCCACTCGAGTAGCTTCTTCCCTCGAACCGCCGCTCTGTAAACCCGACTCCCAAGGGGGTGCTTTCCCGATTACTAGAATCTTAACCTGTTCAAGTATACGGTTAACCGTTATCTTCTCCACATATCCGTATAAACTGCGCCTCTTACACCATAACCGTCTACCTCAAGTGGCTCCCGGGCCTTATACAGGGTGAACATTATTGTAAAAAAAAGACACGCTTTGCGGAATGCCAGCAAAATTGTATATTATAAAGTTGATCAACCGAGAATTTTCTGTTGTTCTAAAATGAAATATGTTCATTATCCCAGACGGTGATCATCATGCTGATTATGATTTTTAAGATAGTTATTCGATTGATAATATTCTTTGGACATCCATGTGTATACATTATATCCAGTACTGAATAGATTACTTTGACCGTGTCTTCTTTATCATCTCCTCAAATCGAACGCTGCAAAATCACAGAACGAAATCTTAAGATGCGGTCATATTATTGGAGGAACGTGACAATAATACGGAAGACAATAACGGTAAAAATAAATTTCCTGGTAGTAATCATGCTTCCGGTAGCATTACGAGCATTAATATAGAATAATAAAAGTATGAAATAGTGGTGCGAGTTATTGCAGCA